ATACTTTGTCATTATGGGAAACGCAATTGTGGCTCATTGGGTGCTGTTTAAAGAAACCGCGTTTCACATGATTCGGAATTCCGGGAATCCGAATTCAGAATTATGGGGGACGCATTGTTTTTAATGTCATCAACAAAAAACGCACTCAATAAGCCACAATACCGTTTCCAATAATTCTTCATTATGGGAAACGCGATTGTGGCTCGTTGGGTGCTGTTTGCTTGCGAAAATCGCGTATCCCATAATTCTGAATTCCGAGAATTCGAATTCAGAACTATGGGGAACGCAAGTTTCCCAAACAACAACGCACTCAATGAGCCACACTCGCGTTTCCCAGAATTCCTAATTATGGGAAGCGCGATTGTGGCTCATTGGGTGCTGTTTTCGTTGCAGGAACTCGCGTTTCCCACACTTCGGAATAATTCAAATTACGGGAAAATCGCGTTTCCCGTGCAATGTGTGCCGGGGGCAGTCGTCCAGGATCGCGTTTCCCATAAGTAAAAATTATAGGGGACTCGATTGTGGCTCATAAAGTGCTGATTTTTGAAGAAAATCGTGTTTCCCATAACCCGAGAGAGCGCCACAAGGCACCAAAGAGGCCCCTACGGCCCTACGGGGCTCCACGATGCTCCCGAGAGACCCCGGGAACCGGAGGCGGCACTTCGACGACGAAAACGACGAAAAACCTGACAAGACGAAGACATTGTGACAGAATTCTTTTATTGTCCTCGCGCAAAACCCGTGGGGCAGCAGCCAGAGTAAGCAACGACAGTCCTGCAGCCAATATGCCCACGGAACACGACGAGGCAGCAGGCCCACGGCCTTGCCACGCCCGGAGCCGAACAGTCCCCGACAGGTTCTCCAAGAAAGGACACACCCCGGGGAGAAAGGCATGCAGGAGGGCGCAGCGAGAGGGACGAAAAAGAGGACGCCGTCGACGCCGCCGCCGCCGCGGTCCATTTTTGCTTGCGGGATTTCATTCACAGCCGCAGGACGGCCTCAAAAGGGCCCCGCAATGGGCCAAGATGGTCCCCAAAGGCTTCCTGGACGGTCCACGAGGGCTACGAATCGTCGAGAGATCGCCCCAAGGCGATCCAGATTATCCCCCCCCCGCGGACCTACAGAGCCCCAAAAACGGCCCAAGAGACTGTCCAGAGACGTCCCAAGAGGCTTTCCAAAAACAAAAACCGTTTCATTTTCTATGGACAACATACATTTCCAACACGTTCGCCTCTTCGGCTTTCACGAGGCCCACAACAGCCCAAGAAACCTTCCACATCGACCCGATGCGACCCCCAAAAACGCCCCAAAGGACTCCAAGACAACCCCCCATATGGGCGCAAAGAAGCCCCAGAAGTCACCAAACCGACCCAAGACGGCCCCAGGACCGCCCCTAAAAAAAACCCAAAAGGAATCCCATAAGGCTCCCCCGACGGCTCGAAACGCGAACTACGACTCGTGAAGAGATCGCTCCCAGACGTCCGCAATTACCTCCAGTTGGCCCTGAGGCCCCTTAGACGCCCCAGCACGCCACCTGGGCGCGTCCCAAGAGGCCTGGCCTAACCAAACCGCGGCCTTTCCCGAAGGGAAACGTCACAATTGAACACGTTCGCTTCTTTTTTTCATTTTTGTTGCTTCCGTCCTTGCCGGGGAACTGTAACGATGTCGTATTCAGCAGGCTCTGTCAGAACGCTTTGGGGTAGAGGACTGGTACCATAGTGTGCATAAAGCGTTCGGCTGTCGCCGATAGTCTGGGTTGCTCCTCGCCCCCGGGTCGCGTTTAAGGGGCCCTCAACTGCTGTGTTTTCATCGGGAAAAAATTGATCACGTTCGCTTCTCGAGCTTACACGAGTCCCACAAGAACCCCAATAAACACACCGAATCAACCCAAAAGCCCCTGCATGCCCCCATGAAGGCTCCCAGACGGCACAAAAGGGCCCCAACGCCCGAAGCCACCAGGGAACGGCCCAGGACGGCCCCAAGGGAAGGGCAAAAAGGGAAATCCGAATTGAGAATTCTAGCACTGCGCCCCGAGACAACATGAAAGGGCGCCTAAATACACCCAAGAAACCCTGACGGGGATCCACAATGCCCCCAATCGACCCCGGGGCCCGGAGGCGGCTTTTCGACGACGGAAACAAAGAAAACACTGAAATTACTAAGACGCTGCAGCGAAATTCTTCTCTTATCCCCACGCAGAAGTCGTTCGCGATTGGCCCCCCGGACCCTTCCCGGAATCCACTCGCAATCGCGTTCCCAAGTGCATCCAGCCGCGGCGACAGAGGAGGGGCCCAGAACCCCCCGACCACAACAAACCTCCCGAGTCCGACGGGCCACTCCGCAAAAGCTCGTTCCCCGAACCTCCCCCGGATCCGCCGATGCATTGTCTCGCCCCATGTCCGTCCAATTTAGAAAGTCCTGGGGCCGAGCGACGGCCCCCAGAGACCGAACCCTATCAAAAACAAAAGCTGTTCAAACAAAAGTATCTGGAAAGGCGGCCAGAACTGCTGCGGGCATCTACCTCGATCGAGAAGAAGAGGAGAAGGACGAGCAGGAGGAAGAGGAGGAAGAGGAACAAAAGGAACGAAGATTTCGTCGTCGCCGCCGATGTCTCGCATATTTTCGTGGTCTTTCGACCACCCGAAGCATCTCCTCGAATTCAGCCTCCAAGAACCGTTTTCGGTGCCGGGGACCACCGCCAAGGGTCGGGGATGAGGGTTGACCTCCCTGGCCGGTGCCACCCTTTCGCAAAGGAAGGAACACGGGGTGGATCGAGGCTCGAGCCATGAGACTCCTAGTTCTTGGGCGCTCTCCGCCCCCTCTGGGCCTTCAGGAAGCTCCTCGTCGACACAGCTGGGTCCACTCTCGAACTTCTGGCCGGACGCAACCCCAGCTGGGCCTCAACGACCCCCGAGCCTATCCAGGGGGTGGAAAAGGGAGGCCTGGGACAGGCCCTGTGAAGGCCCCAAGAAACCCACATAAGACCACGACGGACTCCAAAACAATCCCCTACAAGGCCCCCCATTGAACCCCACGCGCTACGTAGGACAGGCCCCAAGATAGCCCAGCGATCGATCGCGTTCCGCGAATTCTGTCTTTCACTCTTGCTGCCGCTCCAAGGGGTCGGCGGTGCTGCGTAAGCTAATGAATCCACGTCCGGAGGTGACGTGCTGAGCGGCAGCGTTTTTCGGCGAACGCCTTAATGCAATGTATCCTATGTATCCAAAGATTCCACAGTTGCAACATATTGTATTGTGTTACATTATTACGTCTCCCCCCCTAACCCCCCCCCCTGGGAGCTGCGCCACACCGCCGGACCAAAGTGACCCCCCCTTCTGGGGCCCTGGAAACCTACCAAAACCTATGAAAAATCAACAAGTTCGGCCTCTTGGGCCTCTTCGGGCTGCAGGAGGGCTTCAAGATGGCCCAAGATATTCCCAACGGGGGCCCATGAGGCCCCCAAGACGGCCCCAAGAGGGCCCCAAAAGCTCCAAGGACGGCCTAACAGGGCCCAAGAGCGCCCATAACTGCGCCTCCAGAGGCCGAAATCATTGATTTTCCTATGGTTCTTGCAATATTTTAGCGTTCTCGTCTTTTTCGGTTTTCAAAAATCCATGACGGCCCAAACAGCTTCCATAATCGCCCCAGAACAGCCCAAAAAGCCTCCAAGAGGGCCCCAAGACGGCCCAAGAGGGCCCCAAAACGACCCAAAGAGGCCCCCAAGACGGTCCAAGAGGCAGCGAAGACGGCCCAAGAGGACCACAAGAAGGCTCCAATGCGGCCGCGAGAGGCCCCCAAGACAGCCTCCGAGGGGGCGAAACGGCGCAAAAGCGCCCCAAGACGGCCCAAGACGCCCCCAAGAGGCCCCAAGAGGCCCCCAACAAGCCTCCAAGAAGTCCCCCAGAAGCCTCCAAAAGGCCTCCAACAAGCCCCCCAAAGGCCACACAGCGACTGGTGTGTAATGTTATTGTCCCCCCTCTGGGCGAATTGCGGCGCAGCGCCAGCCAGGTGGAAGTTGGTCACTGCGGCGCCCATGATTGGAGCCGGCGATGGAAGGGAAGATGGGGAGGGTGTATGAAAAGGAGGGAGGGGGGAAAGCCCTCAAAGAAGCCCCCCAAAGGCAAAAAGAAACTCCCAGGAGGCCTCCAGGAGGCCCCCAAAAGGCTCCCGAAAGGCCCCGCGACGACGTGACTGTACGTGCTCCGGACGTGCACCCCGCGAAGCGAGAGGAATCATGTTTCCCAGCGGGGGCCGCAAATAGCAAGTCACGGCACTGTGGATGTGTAAGCTACCTGTGTGATGCACTGGCGCTTCGAAGAGCAAAGATGCATCCTCGGGACATCCGCACAAGCGGCAAGGGCTGGCAACCAGCAACAACGGGCCCGGCGGCAACGGGATGGAAAGTGGCAAACCCTCTGGACACCACTACAAGCGGCAACGGCCAGCAACGGGCCAGAACGTGGCAAATCCTAGGGACACCACCACAAGAAGAAGAAACAGGCGACAAAGGGGCGGCAACAAGCCGGAACGTGGCGAACCCCCGGGACAACCATCCAATTCCTTCAAAACTAAAGTACGACACCCTAAGTGCAAGCACTGCTTGGTAAATATACCAGGGACTCGCCAGAAGAAAGACTTGCGCATGTAGGAATTTACGCGCCGACATTGTCAGCCTGCATAGTTGTTCGGGACCCTGAGCCGTAAATTGCCTCCAGAGGCCAACATCGATGAACACCGCCGGCATCCCAAAGAAAACTATTTTGACGTCGTCGGAGGGGTCTCCGCGCGCGGATGAGAAGTAGCGGGGGACGAGGGAAGGGCAAGAAGGGGGAGGAGGAGGAGGAGGAGGCGGCCGAGGAGAGGAGTAGGAGTCAGCAGGAAGGTGAAGTCCGTCCGCAACACGCATCGCGGGTAGTGAGAGGCTACGGCCCCCTGAGCAACACAGATGAGGAAACGCTGGGGCACGGAGAGGACGCGGGCAGTTGCGCAGCCCTGGCCACCGTACTAGGGGTGGCGACGAGGTCCGTCGCCCTGGCTTCGCCGCGGGCTCGACCGCCAGCCCGACCGCCGCCGCCGCCGCCGCCGCCGTCGCCGTCGCCATCGCAGCCTCCAACGCCACCGCCGCCGCCGACGCGATCGTCGTCGTCGACGTCGTCGTCGTCGTCGTCGTCGTCGTCGCCCGTCGTCGCCGTCGTAGTCGTGGTCGTCGTCGTCATTGTCGTCGTCCTCCGTCGTCCGTGGCCTGACGTCTGTCGACTGTGGTGCGTCGTCGTCGTCGTCGTTGTCGTCGTCGTCACATGTCGTCTTCGTCGTCGTCGTCGACGTCGTCCATCCGTCATTCGTCGTGACTCGTTCGACGTTCGACGTCCGTAGTCCGAAGTCCGTCGTCTAGCGTCATCAGCTCGTCGTCTGTCGTTCGTCGTCTGTCGTCGTTGTCATCGTAGTCGTCGTCGTCGTCGTCGACAGTCCTTCGCCGTCCGCCGTCCGTCGGCCGTCATCCGTCGTCTGTTTTGCGACGCCATCATCGTCGCCGTCGTCGTCAGCGTCGTCGAGGTCGTCGTTGTCGTCGCCGTCGTCGTCGTCGTCGATCTACGTCGTCCGTCATCGTCGTCGTCGTCATCCTTGTCGTCGTCATCGTCGTCTGTTGTCCGTCGACTGACGTCCGTCGACTCTCGTGCGTCGGCGTCGTCGTCGTCAACGTCGTCATCCGTCGTTGATCGATCGACGTCCGTTATCCGTCGTCTGTCGTCCGTCGTCGGTCGTCTTCGTCGTCGTCGTCGTCATCGTCGTCGTCGTCGTCATCGAGGTCGTCGTCGTCGTCCGTCCTCCTTCGACCGCCGTCCGTCGGCCATAATCCGTCGTCCGTCGTCTATATTGCGTCATCGTTGTCGTCCTTGTCGTCGTCGTCGTCATCCGTCGTTCATCGTTCGTCGTCCGTCGACTGACGTCCGTCGACTATCGTGCGTCAGCGTCGTCGTCGTCGTCCGTCGTTCATCGTCCGTCGTACGTCGTTCGTCGTTCGATGTACGTCGTCTATCAATCGTCGTCCGTCGTCTGTCGTCCGTCGTCTGTCGTCTTCGTCGTCGTCGTCATCGTGGTCGTCGAGGTCGTCGTCGTCATCGTCGTCCGCGTCGTCGTCGTCGTGAGCCGTCCACTTTCCGTCGGCCGTCCTCCGTCGTCTGTCGTGCGCCGTCGTTTGTCTTGCGTCGTCGTCGTCGTCGTCAGAGTCGTCGTCGTCGAGGTCGTCGTCATCGTCGTCGTCGTTGCCGTCCGTCGTCGCCGTCGTCGACGTCATCGCCATCGTCGACGTCGTCGCCCGTCGTCTATCTTTCGCCAACCGTCGTCCGTCGACTGACGCCCGTCGACTGTCGTGCGTCGGCGTCGTCGTCGTCGTCGTGGTCGTCGTCGTCGTCCGATGTCCGTCGTTCGTCGTTTGACGTCCGTCGCCCATCGACTGTCGTCCGTCGGCCGTCGTCTGTCGTCCGTCGTCCGTCATCGTCGTCATCGTCGTCGTCGACGCGGTCATCGGTCGTCGTCTGTCGTCGTCGTCGTCTTCGTCGTCGTCGTCGACGCGGTCATCGTCGTCGTGGTCGTGGTCGTCGTGGTCGTCCGACGTCCGTCATTTGTCGTTCGACGTCAGTCGTCCGTCGACTGTCGTCCGTCGCCTGTCGGCCGTCGTCCGTCGGTGTCATCGGTGTCGTCGGCGTCGTCGTCGTCGTCGCGGTCATCCGTCGTCGTCCGTCGTCGTAGTCGTTCGTCGTCGTCGTCGTCGTCGTCGTCGTCGTCGTGGTCGTCGTCGTCGTCGTCCGTCCTCCGCCGTCCGCCGTCCGTCGGCCGCCATCCGTCGTTCGACATCCGCCGCCTGTCGTCACGATCGTCGTTCGTCGTCCGTCGTTCGTCGTCGTCGTCGTCGCCGTCGCCCTCGTCCGTCGTTCATCGTTCGTCGTCCGTCGACTGACGTCCGTCGACAGCAGTGCGTCGTCCGTCGACTGACGTCCGTCGACTGCAGTGCGTCGGCGTCGTCGTCATCGTCGCCATACGTCGTCCGTCGTTCGTCGTTCGACGTCCATCGTCTGTCGTCCGTCGTCGTCGCCGTCGCCGTCGTCGTCGTCGTCGTCGTGGTCGTGGTCGTGGTCGTGGTCGTCGTCGTCGTCGTCCGTCCTCCGCCGTACGCCGTCTGGCGGCCGTCATCCGTCGTCCGGCGGTCGTCGAGTGTCTTGTGTCGTCGTCGTCATCGTCGTCGTCGTCGCCTTCGTCATCCGTCGTTCATCGTTCGTCGTCCGTCGACTGACGTCAGTCGATGGTCGCGTGTCGTCGTCCTCGTCGTGGTCGTCGTCGTTCGTCGCTCGACGTCCGTCGTCCACCGTCGTTGTCCGTCGTCCGCCGTCTGTCGTCAACCGTCCGTCGTCTGTTGTCTGCCGTCGTCGTTATGGACGTCGTCGTCGTCGTCACTTCGTCGTCCGTCCTCCGCCGTCCGTCGTCTGTCGTCCGTCGTACATTGTCGTCGTCGTCGTCGCGGTCCTCGTCGTCGTCGTCGTCGTCGTCATCGTCCTCGTGGTCGTCATTCGTCGTTCCTCGACGTCTTCGTGCGTCGTCCGTCGACTGACGTCAGTCGACTGTCGCGCGTCGGCGTCGTCGTGGTAGTCGCCATCCGTCGGCCGTCGTCTGTCGTCGTCGTCGTAGTCATCGTTGAGATCGTCGTCGACGTCGTTATCGTCGTCGATGTTCGTCGTCGTCGTCGTCGTCGTCGTCCGTCGTCTGTCTTGCGCCGTCGACCGTCGTGCGTCGTTCGTCATCCGTCGTCGTCGTCGTCGCCGTCGTCGTCGTCGTCGAGGTCGTCGTCGTTGTCGTGTCATCGACGTGGTCGTCGCCGTCGACCGTCGGGCGTCGTTCGTCATCCGTACTCCGTTGTCTGTCGTCCGTCTTCCGTCGTCCGTCGTCGTGGTCGTCGCCGTCGTCGTTGTCGTCCGTCCGTCAGTCGTCCGTCGTTCATCGCCCGCCGTCCGTCGTCTGACGTCCGTTGACTGTCGTCCGTCGTCGTCGCCGTCGCCGTCGCCGTCGTCGTCGTCGTTGTTGTCGTCGTCGTCGACCGTCGTTTGTCGTCCGTCGTCTGGCGTCCGTCGTCTGTCGTCCGGTGTCCGTCGTCGTAGTCATCGTGGTGGTCGTAGTCGTCCGTCCTCAGTCGTCCGCCTTCCGTACAGACATGAGTGCGGTGTACCTACGTACATATATGCACAAATACATACATGCTTCACATGTGCCCCTTACGCCATCCATCGCTACGCTCAATTCCCATTTGAAGCCCCGCGTGCACGCACCACCCAAACCCCGCGTGGGCCACGGACCGGCCGCACCTCGCAAGGAGCAGAAATGCCCCGAAACCCGGTTGCTTCGCAAGGCTGTGCGGGGGCCAAAACGAATCTCCGCACCGCGCCTGCGACACCACCCGTCAACCCTACGTCCAAGGCTCCTGCGTGTTTAGGCGGTGGAGGGATGCGTTACTCACAAAGGGCTGAGGCACCACTCGCGGCAGCATCGGACCTGCTAGAGTACTACTCCTGGGGGGCTGGGGTGGTGCGGGGGGCGGGAGCCAGAACAGGCTCTGGAAAAGGGGAGACGATCAGGGGGGATCACGCGCCAAAGGGCACACCCGTACAGTACAATAATGGTGCACGGTTATACCTTTTGTCACATGTGCCCCCGTGCCATACATCGATACGCTGAATCTCGATTTAAAGCCCCGATTACACAAGCCACGCAGAGCCCACATGGACCACGAGATAGCCGCGCCTCGCCGGGAGCAAGCACCCCGAAAGACCACTGGTTTCGCAGGCCTGTGCAGGGGCCCAAGCGAGCCACTGCACGGCGCCTGCGGTACCACCCCGCAATCTTACGGCCCAAACTCTCATGTGCTAAAATGGGGGGGGGATGCGCGAACCAACGTTCCCTTCATTGGCCAGTCTAGCTCCGCCGGAAAACGCAACATGTATCAAAATCCCCTCCCCGCTCCTCCTGGCACCCTGCTCCTCCGAAGTGAAAAAACGGAGGGACAAACATGTTCCTCCTCCCTTCCCCGACCTTCAACGCAATGTTCGTTCGCTGCGAACCCTCCTCAAGGGCAGGCTTTTCATACCGAGTCGTCCTTTGATGGTCCTGGTTCCAGAAACGAGCCCCAGGAGGCCGAAATCGAGAAACAACGCCACAGCTGCCCAGATACGCACTACGCATCCCAGAGCGTGTTGGCACGAAGCTCAACACGCACACTGAAGACGCAAGTCTGGCGCGACGCATTCGGCAACGCACAAGCCAATCTGTAAACACGTGTTGGAACCGACGCGCAACGTGTTTGACCCAAATGTTTTTGCTTCAACGCGGGCGGCGCGGGCATTAAGCGGTATTCCCCAGGGCCCTGGGCACTCGGTCGAGTTTCGGCGGCGCTGGCGGCTCCAGCGAGCCCCTTGAGGCAGATGGTCAGCTCGTGCTTCCTCGGGTGCTCGGGGCGGGGAGGGGGTGGCTGAGGAGGGAGGGAGGGAGGGAGGGAGGGAGGACACTCCACTCCAAATTCGCTTGCAGCAGCGGTGTTGTACGTCGCGCCCGTGCTAACTTTGAAACGAGCTTGCTGAGTGAGACTAGCTGCTGAACATCATCAATCGGCAAAACCGGCTCGAAACCAGCGGGAAGGAGGAGGAGGAGTATGAGAAGAAGGAGAACGACGCACTTCAATTGGGGGTCCCAACGCAGTGTGGTGACGGACCGTGCGGTGACCTCAGAATCCGAAGAAACCTCACCGCACGGTCCGCCACCACTCGGTTTTGGGACCTTGGTGGCCCCAGTAGCCCGAGAAATCCTTAGAGCGACCCGAGTCCCAAAACCGTGTGGTCAGAACCCCCACTGACTCACAAAGTGGGGTCGCCGTACTCTTTGGGGGCCTCCGAGCCAGAACTGGGTCTAAATCAGTCCTCCAGAGCCTTCCTGGGGTTAAAGGGCAACGTTAGGGGGGAACCGGCTCAGGGGGGTAAACATCGACCTGGAATCGGCCATACATACCCAATAGGTCGGCGGTAGGCCCCCGATAGCGAATCCGCAACAGCCTGGGCGGAGTGTGATATCGGACACGTATCGGTGATGAATGGGCGATTGGGGGTCGATGCACACCCCTGAGCCTATCCCCCCTTACCGTTGCCATTGAGAGGTCCAACCTAGCCAACTCTCCAAGCCGCGTCTGTGGCCACGGCTATGGAGGTGTCCGGAAGCTTCGAGGTGAGGAGATGCACGCATGTATCGCCAAGGATCGCCGATGCCACAGGACCCCAGGTAGTAGTAGTAGTAGTAGTAGTAGTAGTAGTAGTAGTAGTAGTAGTAGTAGTAGTAGTAGTAGTAGTAGTAGTAGTAGTAGTAGTAGTAGTAGCAGTGGCGGGAGCCGATGTGGCGATGCCGCCAGCTACGGCCCCCCACGAGCTCGACGGTGCAGCAGAGCTCCATCGCCGTGTGGCCAACCACCTCAAACGTCAGTTTGGCCGCTTCCCCCGCCGCGGCGGGGCGGGGCCTGGAGGAGGACGCTACGAGCACTGGGCCCCGCTCAAGTACGACGAGGATGGGGCAGAGGCGGTGGCCAACACGCTGGCACGCCTGGCCATCGGCGACCTCCCTTCCGAGGCGCTAGCCGCCCTGACGGCGGCGCGCCTCACAGGCATCCCCAAGGCAACCCCTGGGGATGTGCGAGTCCTGGGCTGTGGAAATGTCACCCGCCGTATGGTGGGCCGCAGCGCTGCCAAGGTCCACCACAAAGACATGCGGACGGCGGTGGGGGAACAACAGTTTGGCCTTGCCAAGGACGGATGTGGTGCCCTCCATCGACGCCTATGCACGATGGCCAACTCGAGCCCAGGCAAGTGGGTGGTGGCGGTGGACCTCGGGGATGCGTTCAGCAACATCCCCCGCGACCTGGTGAAGGAGGCCGTGCGCACCAAGGTGCCCGCTCTGGCGCCGCTGGCGGAGGCCTGGCTCCCTGCTCGCACACGCCACGTGGCGGGGGGTGGGTCACAGCCCGCCCAGCTGGTCGACCAGATCCGTGGCCTCGACCAGGGCTGCCCGATGAGTCCAGGCTTTTACGCGGTCGGCACCGTGGATGTTCTCAGCATCGGTCGCATGGCCGTGCGTGCGGTGGACGCGGAAGGGGACTGCCTGGCCTTCTTGGACGACACGTACTTCGTGGGCACCGCGGCCGCTGTGTTCCGCGGCTTGGATGCCTGGCGAGCCCGCATTGAAGCCCACGGGATGAAGCTGAAGATGTCCAAGACCCAGATCTGGTCCCCAGATCCCCAAGCTGTCCTGCCGCCGGACTTTGCGGAGTACGCCCAGTGCCGCGTCCAGAAGCTCAAGGCGGTGGGGTCCACCCTGGCCTACGCGAGCCACGACGTGGACACCGACTGGAGGGGCGCCCCGCTCGCGGACTTTGCCGTCCCGGAGGACCTCGACGAGGGGGGCCTCGCGCAGGCTGGCGGCGCCGGGGCCGTCCCGGGCGCCGCCGCGCCACTCCCCTGCGGCGAGGCCTTCCTCCAGAAGCAGGACCGCTACTTCCGAGAGCTCCTGACGCTCCGCAGGCATGGGCTTTCGGCCTTTGATGCCTTCCAGTTGATGCGGATCTGGTCGGGGGGCGCCTGCGTCCACATCCAGCGGGCGCTCTCGCTCACGGCGGCGTGGGGCCGCAGGGTGGATGACGGAGTGGTCGCCTTCGTCAACGCCCTTCTGGGGGTCACGGCTGCCCCCCGTGAGCAGATCTTCATGGAGGTCAGCGACGGAGGCCTGGGCTGTGGCAGCGCCGAACAGCGCGGCCCCGCTGCCCCCCTGGCGTCCCGGGAAGCTGGGATCCACGCGGCTGCCCAGGAGCTCCGAGAGTCGACAACGATCGGCCTCTTTCGGAGGTGGCCGGGCCTTGGCCGTGCCCTCTCGGCAGCGGACGAGGAGCAGGGGCGGCTGGCAGGAGGCCGTCGCCCCCAGAGTGACCGCTGGCAGGGCCTTCTGGAGGGGCGGAAGGGCAAGGGCCAGAAGACGTGCACCCAGCACGTGCGGGACCACGCCACCAAGACGTTCATGGCCGCGCTGCCGGTGACGGCGGCGGCGGCGGTGCATAGTGCCTCGGGCAGCTCAGCGGGCGCCTGGCTTGATAACTTCGAGGGGGTCTCGCCCCTCGCCGACCACGCGTTCTGCATTGCGGCCAAGAGGCGCATGCATCTGCCGCTGCTGCAGTCCGAGTGCACGTGCCTGAACCGACCAGCAGCGCCCACCCGCGCGATGGCGCAGCACGGCCGGACGCGTGGCCGCACGGTGGACGTTCGTGGCGTTCATGCGCTCAACTGTCCCAGGGGAGGCGGCCCGACGCGCCGCCACAATGCCATCCGAGATGCCGTGGCGCTCTGGTTGCGCGGGGTGGGCCACCACGCCCTGGTGGAGCAGGTCATCCCAGAGTGGTACACGGAAGAACAGGGCGCGGCCACACTGGATGTCGTCTACCATCGAGGCATCCATGGCCGAGTTTGCCTCGACATCAGCTTGCTGGACGAGGTGGCTGTTGCCCAGACGGGGCGGCCGCGTCAGGCAGCCCTGCAGCGCAGAGAGAAAGTGAAGCACCGTAGGTGCCCATTTTCTGGCCTGGTGCCCTTTGTTCTCGATGTCAACGGCCACTGGGGCGCAGAGGCTGAGACGTGGCTGCGCCGCGCCGCGGGGGAATTGCCTTGGGCCGAACGGCCCGCGGCACGCTCATCCCTGCGCTCGGCAGTGGCCAACGCCCTGCAGGGCCAAGTCGCTGAGCAGGTCGCCCTGGCGACGGATGACGCAGCGGGACTGGATGCAGGGGCCGCCCCGAGCGTTCGGTCTTGACTAGCTGTGGCTCCATCCCATTTGCGTGCGCCCCCTGGCCCTCCCCTTCCCACTCGCCTTCCTGCTGCCCTGATCAGTCGTAAAAAATTAGTCACATCTGCTGTGTGCACGGTACTGTTCAGTTCCCTTGTTGCGTGCATGGTGCGCTCTTGCTTTGTCACGTCCGTTCTGCACGCCGCGTTGCGTAGCCACCCTGCCTTGTGAACGTTGTGCTCTCGCCATGCCATACTTGTGATGCTCTTAATGTCTGTCTTGGGCTGCTCCCTCAACCCACTCGTGCTGAGCCTTCATGCCGCCAATAGCGCCCGTTCGAGGTCACTGGCTAAAGAGGCGTCAAGAGGCGTTAAAGATCGGGGCCGCCCCGCGGGTCCTGGGGCCGTCGGCGGCCCGCCGTCCGCTTTGTCGCCCGCCCGCGACGTGGTTTCCTCGCCCCCCTTTCCCCTCTCCTGCCCGTCCAGGGTCCCGAACGGGGGTCAGGCCGTTTTCCGCCTGCACAAGGGTCGGTTCCCACGCACCTGGAGCCGTTGGTTTCAGCCTTTAGTCTTCATGTTTTACCTTTGTCCCGCCTTGGCAGCCGGCCGCCCCATTTTGGTTCGGTGTACAGCCTTTCCCCCTCCCCTCTCTTCCTCGGCAGCTGTTTGGCTCGTGAAGCCTTGTCTCGCACATTCTCTCGAGCTGCACCTCCCGTGCCACCCACCCGACCAAGTGATGGCGCCCAAGTTCTCGAAGCCCACGCCGATGCCCTGGCCTGCCAAGACGCGCGCCGACTCGCCTAGTCACGATGCGGCGCCTCTTCGCGAGGCTTTGGCGGCGAAAGCTAAGGCGAAGGCTGAGGCACGTGCGGAGGCCAGCGGTGCTTCCGCGGCCGACGCACCCGCTTCCAAAGCAAGGCCGACGCAGCGCCCTAGCCAGCAAGTGAGCGCGTCGGAGAGCGAAGACGAGGAGTTCGACATGATGTCCGAGGCGGCGACCTTTCGGACGGCGCCGACACTGCCCACGGGATCAGTGACGCCCGCCGAGGACGCCGACGGAGGCAGCGGCACGGGGGCCGCCCCCAGTGCCGCCGCCTCCGATGGCGCCTCTGCGATGCCCACGTCGGCGGTGGTGCCAGTGACGACGGCCGCCCTGGCAGCGGCAGCCACTTACGCCAACTTCACCACGGAGCAGCGCCGTGGGTTGGACGCGATCACCCTCGCGCTCCACAACCTCCAGCTGAGGGGGCAGGCTGTGGGCGGCCGCGGCGGCCGAGGTGCGCGCAGCGTCGCCGACGGCGGTCGCTCCGTGGACGACGGGACCGCCAGCGAGGCCCCGAGTGCTGCGACCACGGGTGCCCCCAGCGGTCATGGAGGCAAACGCCACCGCCGACGCAGCAACAAGGCCGTCCACGGCCAGGCCCCCCAGTCGAGCGACGGCACACCTGCCGCGCTCGAAGACGCCGAGATGATGGCGGAGGAGGACTACGCTGAGGCGGGCTACGTCCACAACATGGGTGCGTACTGGGTCCCGCCGCAGCGCCTGGGCTGGAGTCGGAGGTGCGCGGGGCTGGACGACTGGAAGACCATGGCGGTGGAGTACGTGGACGAGCTCAGTTGCGGGGAGATGCGCC